AAAACCTTAAGATATGCCTCATCTTATATTAAATATTAACATTGATATATCATTATCAATTGCTACTTTCGTAAACTTACTATACTATACTTGTGTACTTGTATATATTCCTAACACATCTAGTTTAAGTAAGATGTATTGACAAATCGAAACCAACAGATTATCCCAGCCTACTTAGGTCAGCCTAAGTAATCATTTCAAGGTGAATTCTTCTCATTATTACCCCATTTTCTATTCCAATTAAAGTTAGTTCCTGTCATATGACTGAAAAACTTGAATTAGATGCCAGAAAAACTATATTGTTTATAAGTTTCACATGGTCGTTGAGAGACCACTAGTACCGACTGTTTAGTCATACCTTATTCACGTTTTAAAACACACATTCTGTAAAGTTAAAAGCAAAGTTTGATTTAAAATTTGTGTAATTCTAAAGATTTTTCTTTTGGAACTTATCTGGTTTGTAGATAAATGTAATGTTAACTTTAGATTACAGTAACAGTAACAGTTCACTGTTAATAGCAGTAAACTGTGTATGTTAAGCTGCATGTAAAACATTTCTTTTATTTCCATATATATTAATTTCTTTCTTTTTTCTCTAATATTTAAAGTTTTCCCTTTATACACTTTATAAATCTTAACAAAATTTAAACTAGTATCGCTTAAAATATATACAATATATTAAATAGTGATAAACAATAATCCAGTCAAGGCGTAAAGACGAGTTATGAAGAAACCTTGCAGTTAATAGAGAGTAAAAATGCTCAAATGCACTGACTCAACATAATAACAAAATAAGTTATAAATAAATTCAATTAAATTAAATACGTTGCAATTTTTTAAGTTAATAAGTTTAGATTATGATTTAGATTTAGCTATGTTAATCAGTTACAGAAGGTTTTTACACGCTTTATGTACTGTTACTCCCTGCCAATAAGCAATGTTAAACCACAATGTTAAAGAAAAGCTTAGAGCTTTTTGCTTTAAGTTTAAGAGAAGTCAATTTATTTGATCAGAAAAAGCATCTACTCTTAAGAGCTAAGAGTGTGAATCCACTTCTATCATTTAAAGTCAATAATTAATATACAATATAATAAATTTAATATAGCAAAAAATTTTGATAATATTTTAAAAATTAATGTATATATATAAAAAATATTAAAATATATTAGTAAAATTAGCTTATTAATTAACTTTTTTAACGAAGTCTATATATTGTAGGTAAATTAGAACCTCTGAAAACAAGTGAACCGACTGCAAGTACCAGGAATCGAACTCGTGTCCTGCCAAATTTGAAGCTCCGAGTCAGCGCACCTTAACTAACTGATTTAAAGCCGTACTTGACTTGTATGTTCCCACATTTTTCTGGAGTTTGGTTACTTGGTGTGTTTATATTACAACGAAATCATAAACTAACTTTTGAATAATTGAATTAATTAATTATATTTTTATTTTTTTAATTGTAAAATTTCAATACTAACATATTCTGTTTATAGAAGCATTATTTGTTGCTTGTTTTATATATTCTTTTTTATGTATAGAACCTAATCTAGAAACGTAATACTGAGAAAGTCATGCTAATGCTACTCTACGAGTCACTTAATTGTTAATATTAGTGGTACTCTAAATATGTTCTTTGTTATTCTTTTCCGTGAGATACTGAAATTCACGGTACCATACACGTTTATCACTATGCTGCAGATTTCTTTGCATTTCATCATACGAAATAAATTTGCAAGTACAAATAAAATTTGAACAAAAACATTCCATTTCTCACTTCTTTAAAATGAATTGTCCGTCTGTCGCATCTGTCGCATGGCACATATATGCTTCCACCTTAAGACTGCGTACTCAATGTAGATTCATTCGTTACACTATCGTTAACAACGGACGGGAGTTCACATGTGAGGTACGCAAATATTTCAATGCTTTTGTATCTGCAATCAACAAAGCCAACAATAATGGCGTCAGCAACGCAGCATTTGACCAAAATTTAAGGAAATTGATTTCGATTGCGAATTTGCGGAATTTGTGTTGCTTTTCGAATCTTTTATCTTCACAATTTCTGTTCGCTTGTTTGCGTTTGTATCTATGTCGATGGTTGTTCGTGTTTTATTGCAGATTTTAGTAAATTGCTTTTAACAATATCGGGTTTGTATAAACCAAAAACATCACATCTAAACAAGAACGCAGATCCGCCCGCAAGTCCACAAACAAACCCGCCCCGCCTGCCGCATAGCCGGATGGCCGCATGGCCGGATGGCCGCTTTAATTGTGGCAACACGCCTTTTAAATGTTTAATTCATCGACTTTCGCACTTGCGCAGAGAATTCCACGACCATTGCGTGCTATTCACGAGCTTTAAATAGATTTTTCTCGCTATTTATGGAACTAACTGAAATTTATTATACAACGCAATAATCTTTATCTTAGCCATTTTTTCCACACTGCACAAATTTGTGCAATATTTAAAATAATTTTTCAATCAACGAGAAAATATAATTCTTTCCAGCTCAGGAATTCGTTGCCTGCTGAGTTAGCTTGCGTTTATCCAAAACATTATTCACGGTTATAGATAGTACGGAAAGAGTAAATAACGCTTTAATATCATTTTTATTATTTCAGCTCAAATGAAAAATATCATTTAAAAGCATAATTTACTTGGACAGTGTATAATAGTTCCTTAATTGCATCCTCTTTGTATGCAATTACCACCCACTTACATTTAGGTACGCACTTTGTGCTGGTATTTCTAAGCTTACTGACTAAACAAGTTGACTAAACTAATCTGCATTTCAGTTTTATGCTCAATTCCCAAGAACTTCTAGCCTTTTTGGTCTTCGCAGTTCCACTAATTTAAAACTAAAAATAGGCTAATTCTAAAATAATCTGACTGAAACCATTCATTGCACTTCAGAACTAATTTTCAAGATTTTATTGATTTTATGTAAACAAATCCCACACGCTTCAACCTGTGAGCTTCTATTAATTAAAATTTCACCCACGTCACATTCATCCGTTCTCCCAAAGTGCATCGAATTTTGCCCTTAAAAAATAATAAGAAAAAACTGACTGAAAAATACAGTAACCTTTTGACCAAATCTAACACAGTTAAGACACCGCATCTAAAGGTGTAAGCATATTGCATCGAATTTTGAAACGAAATTTGATATTCATTAAACTATTAAACTTCAAACAGTGGATACCTGTTTTGGTCTTCTCATTACTAACTTTTCTACAAATTAAAAGTGGTTGAGTTAGCTAACAAACTATTTTAAATATTTTCATGGAATGCTACACGTAATTTCATTCACTTGAGGGTCCTACGAGCAGCGGTCCCACCTCCTACAAAACTCACATAGGAAAATATTAGAACGTTACGATTGGAGAAAACTGAATAATTCTTTGCAGGGTCTTGTTTATAATTTACTAGGCTTTAATAGAAAGTTTTGTAAAAATCGAATATTATTATCAATGGATTACAGAAATACACAATTATAGACTAGCAAAAACCAGCAATATGCATGTTCAGTACACATACATTAAGACTGAAAAGTTTTCGGAAATTCTCATTTAAAATTCGCGCGCTGTATATTTTTCGATATTTTAAGTTTATGTAGTTTGGCAGCACTGTCCTTAATTACTATGCCAAAAATGAGCGCGATCTGTCAGACAGTTCGTTTACGGCAGCTGTTGAAACCAGTTCACCTCAGTAGTGCGTTGCGAAATGTCTTCGACGGTCGTACGACCGTCCTGGAAGGCTTTGTACCACTCATAAACTTGAGTTTTCGATAAAACTGATTCCCCATAAGCCTTTTGTAGCATTCGCAACGATTCTGCACACGAAATTTCGTTCGAAACACAAAATTTGATGCAAACTCTTTGTTCAATATTTTTTTCCATTGTTTTTTTCGCAACGCCCTACTGAGGTGAACTGGTTTCAACAGCTGCCGTAAACGAACTGTCTGACAGATCGCGCTCATTTTTGGCATAGTAATTAACTTAATTGCTGCCAAACTACATAAACTTAAAATATCGAAAAATATACAGCGCGCGAATTTTAAATGAGAATTTCCGAAAACTTTTCGGTCTTAATGTACTTCTATAGAAGTATAATTACATAGTCCTATTGATCGGAGGGGGCTTAAAAGTGGTTTCTTAAAGTATACGACTAATGTAGTAAATTCATCAAATAATTCAACTAGTATTTTGTGAGAATTCTACTACTAAGACCTATTTACTTTTTGTATTTATCATATATTTTTGCAATTATTTATCATGATTAAACAGTCGATTTAAACCATGTACAGTGCAAGATCTCACTAATATGACAACCCGAACATTTTTTCCCCACATACTGGACAATCTACAACAGTATAGTATAAAAAACTTTACTTATTGTGAATTGAGAATAGAAAACTTTTCATAGATATCAAAGAATCAAAGGTATTGTTTAATAGATATGTAGATAATAAGAAGAAGTCTACCACACAAATTAGTGATTAATCCACAAAAATACTGCCCTCTGCATTATTTCGCTAAATACGGTTTTCATATTGCGTCGAAGTTGTAGTTGGTACTGTAAGTATGTATGTTTGCTAATAAGGGTATATAAATATTAATTAACATTATGAGAGCCCTTTTTATATGTTTTCAAATTTGGTAATAAAGTAATTATATTCCAACATTCTGTAATTTGAATGTTAATAAAAAAAGTGCTACGATAAAGGTAGGGGCTTTGAACTTAAGATTTATGCTTCACCATTAACTTTATGTTCAGCATGTTCCTAATATAAATTTAAACCATTTATAATTAATTAATATATTGTATACTGTACATATATAAATCTATATAATTTTTCAATCAATATCATTAAATTTCTAATTAGACTAAGACTTTGCGATCTAGGTACTAAAGTTTACCACCCACTAAAAGTTTATCGTAATTGTATCAAAAGTAGATTCGTGACCGTACATCTTTCTTCATAAACTATAAACCAATAGATATTTAAACATCCTTTTTAGCTTTTATTAAGGAAAACATAAATTTTGTTTGCTTCAAAGTAGACGAATCACAGGCACGCATATATCTGTTTATGGGGTCGCTAAATCTCATACAATAAAATAAGTGTTCATCTCAACACATTCTAAGTTTTATCGTCTCGATTGTATTCATAATTTAGAAATCGCAAACCCTGAATAGATTGAGCAGTTGCATTGGTGAGGTGGCAAGCAAACAGCAGTAAATTTCTTGGTTGGACTTTCCAAGCAAAACGCATGAATACAGTAGAGTACAGAGTTAAAGCTGTAATATGTGATTATTTATTAGGATCATAAAGCTATGCAGTATCTACTTACTTACCAAAAGTCATTGCTCCAGAAATTAATTTTGGATCCTTCTTCATATCAGCAATGGCAGCAACAGGTATACCCCAATTAGCGAATGGACCCCAAAAGTGTGTACTGTACAAAATAAGTGAAATTTTTAATACATTATATAAATTATGACTTTGTCCATAGCTCACCTCATCAAGTAATCGCGAAATTCTTTACTCCTTACCATATCCAAGGCACGGAATACTAGACCTCCTGCACGCTTAGCCATCTCTTCTGTGTTTATGCTTGCCTGTTTCTGTGGTTACGAAGAATTTTGAATTTCAATTTAATCCAAATATAAGAAAAAAAATAATTTAATTGGTTTTGTATGTTTCAGTATTTTTTTTAGGTATTGAAATAAATTATCAAGGTTTGCTTTAATGTAGCAAAATTCCTATAATGTTCAAAATTTTAGTTTTTTGAATTTTTTTAACAAAAAACAATGTCCTGTTGAAATGAATAGTTTTGGTATTAATGTCTCTAAAAAATATTCAAATTTCAAATTGTAAGAATATATGAAAGACTAGTAAGGCGTTTATAATTACACATTTTGAAAATATTAACACAAGTACTTCGGGAAACATCTGTTCTGATAAGCTGTAGCTCCACAAAATTTTAATTCAAGACGTGAAAAAATTTAAATACTTGCGTACAATGAGTACTCGTTTGCAATGAATTTTCTAATTGAGGATACTTTTCAGTACTTAAGTAATTTGAACTCTGAGCTTGCTTCATACCATGCTATAGTTGCTAACAGAAGCTGATAGGAGCAATGGACTCATTTAAAAAAAGTTTATGAAAACTAAATAAGGCTTCATGTAAATTATTCAATTGAATAAAATCCGTTATATCTAATATGAAATAGACTGAAATACTTAAAGATCGAAAACCTCTCTTGTATTCGCTCGACTATGAGAAGTTGACCGCTGTTCAGCCGGACAATAAATCATATACTCATATTAAATAAATTATACTACCTTATATTCATAAATCTCTGCAATAAATAGAAGTCCTATTGTGAAATGCAGTATTTTCACTTTCATACCCAATGAATCGCAGAAATTTAACTAATCCATTTTTAATGGATTTTGTTTTTTTACTAAACTAAAGAACTAGTAATAAACATAAACATAAACAGCACTAAGTTGCTACCGAAAAGCAATATTTTCGCAACAAAAATTAATACACCACCAACTCATTAAGATTTGTTGGTAATTTTGCTTTGTTGTCTGAAGAATCTAAATTTTATTGTATGAGTTCCATGTCAACTTCATGAACATTTTATAGAAGGTAGCTTAAAGAGCTGAACGATGCATTTTAACATTAACGAAACTTCATATTTATGGCAAATGTTTTCAAACTATTCAAAGCAATTGTAAAATTTCTATGGATGTTGTGTAATAATCTCTCATCTAGCAAAGTACGCAATAACTACATTTTATCTGACTAAATTTCTAACTAAAAAAATTAATTAAAATTGTTTTGCTTTAAGCATTGGTTTTATTGCCAAGAAAGGAACTTAGACAATTTCAGCTAAAAATACCAATTAAGTTTCAACACAAACTTTAACTGCACCACACATTTATAGCCTCTTTGAAGAGCATAGAAAACCTCCACCTATTTAACCCTCTTAGTGACTTCGGACATAATTCAATTATGGCAAATATTCATACATAGCGACACAATTAACATAAAAGTGCTGCCAGCCGCCTACAAAGTACGAACAGGATACTCGTATTTTATTGGAAAATTTAATGCGAAAATAATTTCAGTTAATTCCCACATACAGTTCCTATGCAATTCAATGCATGAGTCTTAATTCGGAGAGGCCGCAAGCAGTCCATAAAAGTGCCTTCATTTGTTGAGCCATCAATGAGCCGTTAATTTCCGTTTGGAATCCCATACTAGGCAAACACATTGATAAAGTCTTGAGAAAAATCATCTTAGCATTATCAACAACGCCACCCACACTCAAGCATACACTTGGATCACTGCAATGTCTTAGGCGACCTTTTCCTCACATATTTTCCATCAATTCTTCTTTTCTTGTTGAGATAAAATATGCACCATATTCAGCAATGCAAGCTGTGGCAACATCACTTGCTCCTGAACGCCGATTTGGAAGTGTGTGTATGTGGCGCACTGTTGTTAATTGCTTATTTTACCACGATATTAATGTCGTGACCAACCCAGTCTTGGTGGAACTGCAAAATATGCTTGCATTAGACGTCTGTAAGTACTTCTTTGCTATTTTTCCTAATATTTCTAATATTTTTATTATTTCCATTTTATTTGACTTTTAATCATGCAATGCCAGAGTCCGCAAAGGTTCATTGGCTTACCACCAAGTTAACCAACCTTTTTTCTGAATATCTTTTGTTGAATTTTTTATTGCTTTCACAAGCAAATTAACTTAAGAGATAAAATATTTGTTGTTCCTTTTTATGCAGAATATTTAACAGCAAACACAATCTACTTCCTTTTGTACATTGATTCCAACAAGTATTCAACTGATTTTTACAACACAATTAAAACTTCATGGCAACAGCTCTCTTGCACCAGTCCAATATGCCACAGATTTAATATGCAGGATTACAGAGCTGGAGCAGTAAAAAAATGCAAATAAAAATGTAATGCCGTGAAAATCTATTGACACGGGCTTACATAAAAAACCCGCCCACAACTAGGTTAGTGGGTCAATAATAACCACCGGGGCAACTCACACTAGTTAAGGTGCTCACAAATTTATGGTACCAAACATTGCACTCCATCGACATTGAGGCAAAGTGTTGCTCTGTGCACCACATCCATTTATTGAGATACTTAAACTACAATAACAAAGCATCGAGGAGGCAAGTGTAGAAGAAACTCGATTTTGGAGAGCTGAAACTCTTAACCAAAAACATTTTTACCGATGGCATTAACAATATTGGAATATTTCTTCTGTGTGCTGTTGTTATGTTCTATGGATATTTAAATGAAATGAGTTGCAGTAAATGTTGCAATTTATTGGTTTTGCATTAATCTTTGCATGGCTATGACTTAAATCTTCCAGCCGCACCTCATGTTTCTATTATTCTCAATTGGGTGGCAATAAAAATGTGCCGGGTGCAGAAAATTAAGGTCACCCCATGACATTTTAAAGGTGATTTATTTCACTTGAATCGTGAACTGTGCTCTTCAGCAAATAAATTTTTAAGTAAATATGAATAATGTCATATGATTCAGATCTATTATCTTCTAATTTTCTATATGCTTTCAACTATAAAATAATAAATTTATATATTATTTATTTACTTTTCTTTCTGTGTAACACGCTAATGAGTACAAGGTTATAAAAACTGTTCAGCGGAATATAAAGCGCTGATCGGTTCTTAAGTTCATGATTATTAATACCGATTCCAGATTTTATTACGAGTATAAGAAAATTTATCAAGCGAAAACTCAGCAAAGGATATATAAACATAAAAGGTTTTAATTTTTAACAATAGATACCGTAACCATTAATATAAATAGATTAAAGAAATGGTCATTAAATAGTAGTTTAGTTTCAGAGAAACATATCTGTACCTTTAGGTAAACGTGAACTCAAGAACAGGTTTTTACTATTTCAAAAACATTGTCTGGCTTATCTGATAGATTATCAAACACCATGAATAGTAAGTACAAGCTTTATTGTATACTCTAAAACAAATAAACTTCTTATCTCAACTCACTTCACCGGAGGCAGGGTCTTTTCGTATATCTTCTTCCTTCACCTGCCGCTTCACACCTTTGTCTAAGCAGTATTATATTTAATCTAATCAATGACCAACTTGTTGGCGGATAATTTGATTAATAATGTTTATGTTGTGACAATGCTCGTACGAGTTACGCTTCATTTAGATAACATAGAGTAGTTTTTGCACAGTTAGAACGAAGACCTTACAAAGAACTTTTCTCTCGAACGTTCCTTGTGCCTTTAGTGCTAAGAAAACTTATATATATATTCAAATTTATGTACTAAACCGTCGTCCAAATTCAAAATCAGTACAAAATACTTCAATTAAAAATGGAATCAATTAAATTTATAAGCTTAAACACACCTAAGCATTCCTTCAATGCTACGAAAGATAACTTAATTATAAATTTGTAATCGCATTTGCAGGAAATTAAGTCCCTGTTAAAATCGCTGTTAACAAATTCGATAGGTTGTAGGAAGATTGTTACTGTAAAGGCAAACGACATATGCAGAATGGCTGGTAAGGCTTTTTGCAGTGACTTAATGAATGAGCGCTCATTAGCTGACATCATTACCGTAGCCACTAAAGGCGGTAAGAAAATCAATTCATTCATCAGTTGCTCTTCGATCTCAACCGCCGCAATCGCAAATAATAGAAAAAATATTGTGTGCGCGCGCATTGGCAGCTTATCGATCTTTTTGTACTTCAGATTCTCAGATACTCGTACAGCAGCGGTGCAGCAGGACAAGAGCAATGCGGACAGTGGATGAATGGCAGAGAATACACTAAGAGCTGCTCATTAAGTGCAGCATGTGCAAATTGTTGATTTATCTGAGCAGAAAGGCCTCGCTGATGGGTCACTTAATCAGTCGGAAAATGTGAAAAGTTAAACGGCAGTTAACGCCATTCGCGCTCTGTGGATACCAAACTGTTGGTAATAGAATTTGTATCTTAAGCTGGAACTCGATGTTTGTGTATTTACATAGCAAATGGAAGCTATTTAACATTGTAGCGGAGAAAGTGCCGCAAGTTTATAGCTGCCAAATGCGAATTTATTGAATGCATTTGTTGGAAGGACTTATTTCTATTTATTTGTTAGAGTAACATTTACGAATTGCTGACAGATCTGATACGTAACCCTGTAATATATTTCGTGTTGAATGGTGCGTGGGTTGAAGGTGTTAGCAACGGCAGCTATGCAATTTGGTACTTATTGAATTTATCATACAGAAAAACTACTTACTTTATTAGAACTCTTATTGTTTGTCGGATTGGCATACATACAATCCATAAGTGATATCCGAAATGTAAGTAAATCGCAATGAAGAGATTTTGTGCAGCATCTTGAGTTCACGACACTATTAGTTATTCAATTTCAAAAACTCTAAGCCCTAAACTATGTAGCAACCCATATAAGTCAAAATCCAGTCAAGTCGAATATGTTTTGCAATTTGGCTGTGTTCAACCCAACGCTACTGCTATGCCTACTCTGGATGGCGTTTGGTATTCGATAATTTCATGCTGTCATGCGCCTGTACTGGCGCATATGTGGTGGCATTTTATACCTTCGGGAATCGGTGCATATAAATGCGATTCC